AAATGATATATAGAAAATACAACAGGGGCTAGAGAGATGGCTCAGAGGTTAATAGCATTGCCTCTTTTCCTAGAGGTCCTGAGTTCAATTCCCAGCAAACACATGGTGGCTCACAACCATCTGTAATGGGGTCTGGTGCCCTCTTCTGGCCTGCAGGTATACACACAGAATATTGTGTACATAATAAATAAATAAATAAATAAATAAATATTTTTTTAAAAAAGAAAATACAATAGTATTGTTTGTTAAAACAATAAAATATTTTCTATGGTTTATTGTTACTTGTATTTAGAAGTGAAATATGTGATAATAGCTCAGAAGATTAAAGTTTAAGAGTCTTTCATTGTTTAGGAAGCAGTAAAGGTCTAAATCCACGTAGATTAATAAGTCAAGGATGTAGAAGACAAGACAAATACAAACAACAGAAATAAAGCCATACTGACAGTGGAAATCTCAAATGTAGGTGGACTAAGAACCCAGTAGAAATGGCTGACTAGGTATGGCACTGTACACCTGTGGTACCGGTGTTTGGGAAGCTGAGCAGAGGAACTTGAGTTTGAAGCCAGCCTAGACCTTTTTTCGAGGGGGCAAAAAGTCAGTTATCAAATGAAATAGGAAACTAAAATTGAGATAAAAATATTTCTACAATGTATAGGAATTTTCTTCTTAATAAAAATGGGTCCAGGGCTGGAGAGATGGCTCAGCGATTAAGAACATTGCCTGCTCTTCCAAAGGTTCTGAGTTCAATTCCCAGCAACCACATGGTGGCTCACAACCATCTATAATGAGGTCTGGTGCCCTCTACTGGCCTTCAGGCACACATACAGAAAGAATATTGTATACATAATAAATAAATAAATATTTTTTAAAAAAATGGGTCCATTCAGGAGGAAACCATCTAGGCTAGAGCAATGGCTTCACGTTAAGTAAGTGAACACTGCTCTTGCAGAAGACCCAAATTTGGTTCTAAGCATTCACAGTAAGTGGCTCACAACCTCCTATTACTCCAGTTCCAGGGGATCTGATACCTTCCTGTGGGCTCTACAGGTACCTACATGAGCACATATGCACACACACATACACACAATTTTAAAATTTATTAAAGGGGTAAAAAATGGCTTGGTGGTTAAGAGGACCAGGATTAGATCCCAGCTCCCACACAAGGGCTCACAACTGTTGCTACTTTAGTCACCTGGGAGCCAACTCTTTCTAGACCCCCAGGCACCAGGCAAACCATGGTGCAGACATACACGAAGGCAAAATACCCTTCCATTCCTTTAAATCTAAGGTAATATTAATTTCTTTAAAATATTTGTTTTTTTGAGACAGATTTCTCTGTGTAGTCTTGGCTGTCCTAGAAATCCCTCTGTAGACTAGGCTGGCCTCGAATGCACAGAGATCTGCCTGTCTCTGCCTCCCTAGCACTGAGATTAAAGGTGTGCACCACCACCACCTGGCTCTTAAATTTTTTTTTTAAAGATGGGCAGTGGTGGTGCACACCTTTAATCCCAACACTTGGAGGCAGAGGCAGGTGAATCTCTATGAGTTCAAAGCCTGGGTTACAGAAGGAGTTCCAGGACAGCCAGGACTGTTACACAGAGAAACCCTGTCTCAAAAAAACAAAAAGGAAAAAAAAATTAAAGAAGAAAACATAACTAAATTTACAATTATCCAACAGACCTTGTCACACAGAAAAGCAACCAATTAATTTCATAGCTAGAGATGTCACAGTGCCTCTCCCAACAGTTGTTGGAAAAAGCAGACAGCACACCAGTCAGGGTGTTAACGATAGTGTAACACAGTGAACCAACTTGACCTGATTGGCATATTTGGAACACTGCACTACACACAACCACATCACAATGTATATCATTCTAGGTTTGTCTGTTTTGAGACAAGGCTTGCATATACATAGCCCATGCTACCCTTAAACTTGTAATCCTCTAGCCTCAATTTCCGTAGTGACAGTACTGAGATCGTAAGTGTGAGCCATTGGGTCCTGCTCATGATACACTTGTTTATCACTTTAATTTTTAAAGAAATTACCTATTATGTGTATGTATGTATGTGCACTATATATGAGTGTCTCTTGCCTATAGAGGTCAGAAGAAGGCATCCAATCCTCTGAAACTGGAGTTGTGCATGGTTATGAATCACCATGTAGGTGCTGGGACTGACACCTGGGTCTGCTGGAGAAGCAATAAGTGCTTGGTCTTAACTGTTGAGCCATCTCTCTAGCCGCTTATTACTTTGTTTATTGTTAGTGTAAGTGTGCAGTATATTTTGGGAGGCGGTTAGTCCATTCTCTCTTCTGTGAGAGAACTCGGGTCATCAGGCTTGCTCAGTAGGCTTTTACCCATAGAACCATCTCTCTGGCTTTTTTACTTTTGAGTTAGGATCTCACTATATAGTTCTGTGTCCTGGAGCTCACTCTGTGGCCCAGGCTGGTCTTGAACTTCAAGTAATCCTCTTATCCAAACCTCCCAAATGCTGAGGTTACAGGTATGCACCAAGTGTTTGGTATAGTAATATACACTGTTGTGTATATGAAACGTAGTGTAAGTGTGGTTAGAAGCAGAAGCAGGCAGATCTCTGAGTTTCAGACAAGCTTGATCTACGTCAGTGGTTCACAACCTTCCTAATGCTTCAGCCCTTTAATACAGTTCCTCCTGTTGTGGTGACCCCCAGCCATAAAATTATTTCTGTTGTTACTTCATAGCTGTAATTTTGGTACTGTTATGAATTGTAATGTAAATGCCGGTGTTTTCCAATAGTCATAGATGAACCCTGTGCAAGAGTTGTTTGACCAACCTCTCCAAAGGGGTTGAAACTCACAGGTTGAGAACTACTGGTCCACATAGGTTCTCAACTACAGGGCAATCAGTCCTACACAGAGAGACCCTGTTTCAAAAAACAAGCAAAATGCCAAACAAACAAACAAGCCTATGCTTCCTTTTGATTTGAACTGTATGTGAGTGAGATGGGACACAGAGGGCAGGGGGAATCTCACTACCCCATGGGACAGCCTTGGTGAGCAAAGCACTGCAACATGGGATCTTCAGCTTCCTCAACAAAGAAAATGTCTGCCTCTGTCTCTTATAACATATGTGAAGTTTCCAGATAAGAATCTGGGGCTGGGGTAACAAACTGGATGAACCTGAGACCCCTGAATATTTGCAGTTTTTCTTTTCTCAGCTGTATGCAGGGCCTAGGGCCAGTGCCACACTCACTTAAGAGCTTGAGACAGCCCTGCCCTTATTTTTGAGACAGCCTTGCTCATTGAGCTACATTGTTTCACTACATAGCCCAAGCTGTGCTGGAACTTTTGATCCTCCTGCTTTTGCCTCTTGGGTGCTAAGATTATAGACAGATGCCATCACACCTAGCTGGAGAGTTTTTAAAAGGACTTATGGTCCCACTTCCTGGGGATCCTGTATATTATAAAAGCAGTTGGACTGATTCTGAATATTTGGACAGATGTGAGTCACTGAAATAATATGGGGAAGAGGAAGAATAGAAATGTGAGTGAAGCCGGGTGTGGCTTGCACCTGTAATCCTGAATTTGAAGGGAAGACCATGGAGGAGCAGGAGTTCATGGTCATCCTTAGCTACAAATGAATTCCAAGCCAGCCTGGGTAATTTAAGGCCCTGTCACATAAAAAAAGCAAAAATAAAAATACAAAGATAGATAGAAGAGTATGGAAATGTTAATATGGATGAATGAATTGGAAAACTTAAAGGGCAGGACTGGGTGTGGCCTTGCCCACTGTATGAAGCAAGGTTCTGGTCTCCTAAAACATTTGACAAAACTAGGTACATATGAAGCAAAGAAAACACTGTTTCTACTGGGCAGTGGTGGCACAGCCTTTAATCCCAGCACTTGGGAAGCAGAGGCAGGCGGATCTCTGAGTTAAAGACCAGCCTGGTCTCAGAGTGAATTCCAGGACAGTCAGGGCTACACAGAGAAACACTGTCTCGGGGAGGGAAGGTGGGGGTAATTGAAAAGTAACAATAATACAAACCTACACCTTGAAAAAGGAGATCATTTTTTTCCCTAGTAAATGTGTTAAACTCTTCCTGCCCCAAAATATTGTTTGCTTCCAGTATGAAATATTTTACAAATGTGTGGATTGATGCATTCTGTAAAGTAGCAGTTGCACCTTAATCCCAGGAGTGAATCCACAGAGCTTTTTCTTTCCTCTAGACTTCTCCAGAGAACTCTGGGACAGGAGGTGGAGTGCAAGGATGCATTGTGTTGCTTTCCTGCTTTTTCTGTTGCCTTCCTGCCCCGCCCTTGGCTGCTACTCTCTTTACCATTAAAGCCCTGCATGTGTGTCATCACGAGGCCCTCAGGGCCTTTGATCTCAGTCCTGAACTTGTAGCGTCTTCGCTGTGTTTTGTGTCAACGCCTTAATATCAGGACTTTCTCTAAATAATAAGATGATGGCAGAGCAGAATCTCCCCTCTTACCCTCCTCTAATTCCCTCCATTTCTTCTCTCTAGTGTCCCTTCCCCACCTCAGTCTCCTCCCAGTCTTCCAGGTGTGCAGAGCCCTTTTTGTGAGGGGAGAAAATCTGACAAACAGATCCAAGGTGTCAACACTTGATGAAGTGCCCTTCCCCGAACTGCTTAAATCCTGAAAATTGCTGGGGGTAATACATTATTTAACAGTGACTCATTAGTAGTGGAATTCCCTGCTTCAGAGACACAGAACTCAAGAGGATGGCTACATTGTGTGTGCTAAAGATGTAGACCTGGGGATCCTCATCATCACACTGAATTTTTCTCTTAAATGATGTCAGGTTGGTTTGGCTTCTACAGGGATCTAAGTTTTGAGTTTGGGCCTTTGCTGTCCATGTGGTGTCCAGAGTGTGACCTGTCTGCATGATTGTTATCGTTGCCCCATCCTTTCCCACGGGCACAGGAAGAGAGGGGACATTTTTAGAGGTTATACAGGAATAATAAATTGGCTGTTTCTTCCCGGTCTCCTCCATGTACAGAAGAAGCAGAGCAGCCCTCTGGAGACCCAGACATGGTCATGGGCAGTGTGGAAGCAGGAGATACAACACCTCCCACCAAAAGAAAAAGCAAGTTCTCAGGTTTTGGCAAGATCTTCAAGCCATGGAAATGGAGGAAAAAAAAAAGTAGTGATAAATTTAAAGAGACATCAGAAGGTGAGTACTAAGATTTAGATGTGTGTTCTAATGAGTGAGGCAGAGTTCTTGCCTGGGCTCTTCCCTGTTAGTACAGAGGACCTGGTGTACTTTTGTTCTCCTGAAGTCCCTGCAAGGAGAGGATCAGAAATCCAAGGACCAGAGCCTAAGGTCATTCTTAGACATAAACTGAATTTCAGACCAACCTTGGCACCAACCATGGTGTCAAGACCTTGTCTCAAAAAATAAAAATAAATATGGCTTCTAATTTAAGAGTTCCCTGTTTGTATTGAGGATATAACTGAGCAAGTAAAGAAAGCGCTTGATGCAAACATGAGAGCCTGAGTTAGAACCCCCAGAACCCACACATGAAGCCAGATTCATCACACATGCTATTGTAAGCCAGTGCTTCTGTGGGGAGATGAAAGGCCGAGACAGAGACTCGCCAGGAACACGAGGCCAGCTGGCTTGCAGTGGGAAAAGAGCAAGCAGACCCAAGAGACCGTTTCAGTCAACCAAAGTAGTGAGAACCGATGCTGGAGGTTGACCTCTGACATTCACACGCATGTCGTGTCATGCTTATGCCCAAGTGTGCTTGCACACTTATGTATACAAATTGTACACACACATTAAGAAAAGAATAATTATCTGATTTAGCTGGGCTTGGTGGTACAGGCTGTATTCCCAGCACTTGGAAGGTGGAGGCAGGAGGATCAAGAATTTAAGATTATCCTTAGCCAGGCAGAAAATTCAAAGTCTGAGTTATATGAGGCAAACAATTAACAACAAAAGGAGGGGAAGTTCTATTATTTAATTAATAGTTGATTAATTTAGCAGACAGTCTTATGTATCAGGGTGTCCCTGTACCCTTTATAGAGCAAAGGTTATGTTGGAATTGTGGTTTTCCTTCCTCTACCTCCTGAGCACTAGGACTACAGGTGTGTGCTACATCTAACTTATAAGATGCTAGAGATGATCCCAGGGCTCTGGGCTTGAAGGCACGTACATCACTAGCTGAATTTCCTGTTCCAGAAGTACCCGGCTTTTCATCTCTTCCTAAACTTACATAACCTCCTACTCGGAGAGTTCATTCTTTTAGATTTAGACCGGTGAATGGTCCTTCACTGAGCCTTTGCTTTCGTTTGCATTGTGTATTGAGGATTAAACTATGAACCTAAGGCATGGCACATAGAGGCTGGGCAAGTGTCTACACTGACCTACAACCCCAGCCATCTTTTTTTTTTTTCTTTTTTTAACGCAGGGCCTCATCTGACCTGCTATGCTCTTTCTTGCCTGGGATGGCCTTATTTGTAGCACTTAACCCTGCCTCGACCTCCCAAGTGCTATGGTGGGCCATGGTGTCTAGTTGTTTTAATCTTCAGTGTGTTTGTTGGGTCAGATCACAGCTCAAGGGGAGGTCTAATACAGTTTTGCCAAGTCTGTTCTCTCTTTCCACCCTGTGGGTTCCAGGAATCAGACTCCATCCGTCAGGCTTGGCAGCAAGTATCTTTACCCACTGAGCCCTTTTGCTGGCTCCCCACATGTTTTTTATTCTGATGCAGGTTCTTACTAGATTGCACAGACTGCCTTAAATTAACCATGATAATCCTCCTGCTTCAGCCTTTGGAATAACTGAAATTTACAGATCTGTTTCGTCAATCCTGGCTTACACTTATATTCTGTAGCCTCCTTCCCATGTTTGTATTTTGATGGGATTGATTCTGTTCAGTAAAGACAGACTTCATGTTGCACCTGTTATCTTAGTACGTGAGAGGCCGGAACATAAGGGTTGCCATGAGTATGGGACTAGTCTGGGCTACATAGTGAGTCCTAGGTCAGTCAGAGCTGCATTGTAAGACCCCCCCCCAAATATGAAAATAAAAGGGCCGGATGGGAATACACGGTGAGACTGGAACACCTGTACTGTAGCAGATCTAAGGTGCTTCTTTCGCTTAGCACACGTCTCAGCAACATGGCTTATCTGTAAACCTTATTATTGAAGCCCTAATTAAGCCAAAGACGTGTGAGTATGACTTCTTTGGGGAGTGACACTGTCCCAGTGCAGGTAATAAAATAAATTTAGATGCTTTGTTGTTTGGTTTTGTATCTAGTTCTAAGTGTGGAACCCAGGGCCTTGAACATGCTAGGCAATCACTGTTTTTGCTCTCTCAACCCTGCAATTTTATTTTGTTTTGGTCAGAGTCTTGCCATGTCCTAGCTGGCCAAGTACTGTGTAGCATAGACTGGCTTCAAACTCAGCAGTATTCATAGCATCTTCCTCTCAAATAATGATTTTTGTTTTGTTTGAAGCAGTCTTGTGTAGCCCATGCTAGTCTAGAAGTTACTATGTAGCTGAGGCTGTCCTGGAACTGATCCTCCTGCTCCCACCTCCCAAGTGCTAGGATTACAGACATATGGTACCATCCTCAGCTACGTTTTTAAATGTAAAGGTAGTTTCCCTGTCCTCTTTTCCCTTAAGAATACAAAGAAATGTGAACCACTTTATTCTTTTATACTTATAATGCTACGAGTTGTGTTGACCTTCCAACTGCCACATTTCTGAGTTGTGTTTTCCAATTTAATGTTAGTTTTAGAGCGAAAAATATCTATGCGAAAACCAAGAGAAGAGCTGGTTAAAAGAGGGGTTCTGTTGGAAGACCCTGAGCAGGGTGAGTTCCAGACAATCAGCATATGCCTGTCTCTGTACATGTGGTCTTTGGCTGGGTCTCACTAGGGTTTGGAATTCTCTTCTTTGCTTTATTCTTTCTGTAGTTAAGGTGGAGGAACACTTGAAAAAATGATTGCCTATTTCTTCCCAGGTGTCTGGCTTCACTTTTAAGCTGTGACATAGGATGATTGGTGAAGGGTCCTGGGAGCAAAAATTCCATGTGTCTTCCTCCAACTTGTCACCTACTGTGGTGACAGTTAATTCAGATTGCCTATTGGTAGTTTTGACTAAATTGCCTCCAAGCTCATCTTACAGTGATCACTCATTGATGTTTCAGTGCCCACTGCTAGTTAGTGATGTTGAGGCGCTCTTGTATGGCTGTTCTGCAGCAGTGGATTATAAATGTACAGCATAGTATTGTACCTTGATTTATTCAATTTCTCTTCAGTTTCATATGCGAAACAATTTACTACTTTTGCAGAATTCCCATCTTGCTCCCTTCCTCCCCTAAAAATAAGGAAATGGCTCAGTGGTTAAGAGTACTTGCTGCTCTTACAGAGGACCTGGGTTCAATTCTAAGTACCCACATAGTATCTCACAGCCATCTGTAACTCCAGTTCCAGGTGATCTAGCACCCTCTTCTGGCTTCCCCTGGCACCAGGCAAGCATGTGGTGCATATACATGCATACATACAAACAAAACACTAGTACACATAAAAACCAAAAACAAAAGATTTTTAAAAATTAGCTAGACAGTTGTGGCGCACGCCTTTAATTCCAGCAGAGTAGGTGAAGGCAGAGGCAGGTGGATCTCTGAGTTTGAGGCCAGCCTGGTCTACAGAGTGAGTTCCAGGATATCTAAGGCTACACAGAGAAACCCTGTCTCAAAAAACAAAAATAAAAATTTTAAATAATAAAATTAAAAATACAGTCCTAGAGAGATGGCTCAGCAAGTAAAGGTACCTGCAGAGAACTGTTGTCTTCTGATCTCAGTGTGTGTTCCATGACATATGATCCATGACACATAGATACCCAAGCACGTACATACACCCATAAATGAATGTAATAACTTTTAAAAAATAAATAAAAAGCCAAACATGGTGGCCCACACCTTTAGTCCCAGCACTTGGAAGTAAGAGGCAGGCAGATCTCTGTGAGTTCCAGACTAGCCTGACTAGACCAGCCAGGGATACACAGTGATACCTTGTCTCAAAAAGCAAAAGGAAGTAAAAACTAAAGTCTACAACTGTACATAGTAATACATACCTGTAATCTTAGGAGACGGAGAGAGGAGGATTACTAAATTAAAAACCAGCCTGGTATTTAGAGAGAACTCTAGGCCAGCCACAGACTCTTTCTGGAAAAGCTAGTTTAATAATTAACCAATTAATTAATTTAATAAAAGTAGACCAAAGTGTGGTATGTCACACCTATAATCCAACAGCACTAGGAGACAGAACCAGCTTGATCCAGTTCAAGGCTAGTCTAGGCTGAGTATGAGCCCTTGCCTCAAAACAAATAAGTAGGTAAAAATGCTTTATGATTTCTCTGCTTATTGTTTTTTCTTCAATGCTTCTAGTCTAAACTCCACTGCTTACTGGGCATGCTCGAATGCTGCCGTCTAATCTCTTAGTGGAGGTGATGCATTGGGTGAGAGGAGCTGTGAGAGGTCTGTGAGAATTACTGGACTAATGCTAAAGATATCAAGAGATGAGCATACATGTGTGTGCACACACAAAAATAAAACAAATTTTAAACGATGTTACTCTAAGCATTACTATGGAAGCAAGAAAGGACACTAATACCACCCTGTGACCTGTCTGTCTTCCCTCCCTCCCTCCCTCCCTCTCTTTCTTTCTTCCTGTCTCTCTCTTTCTGCCTGCCTGCCTTCCTTCCTTCCTTCCTTCCTTTTTCTCTCTTTTTTTTCAATACAGATATATTTATTTACTTATTTACTCATTTATTATACAGTGTTCTGCCTGTATGTATGCCTACATGCCAAAAAAGGGTACCAGATCTCATTATAGAGGGTTGTGAGCCACTGTGTGGTTGCTGGAAATTGAACTCAGGACCTCTGGAAGAGCAGACAGTGCTCTTAACTTCTGAGCCATCTCTCCAGCCCCTGAGCCATCTCTCTAGCCTCCTCCTCGCTTTTTAAATATAGTTATATTTCTTTGTGTATGGGTGTTTTGTTTAATTGTATGTCTATGCCCTTGGAGAACAGAGGAGTACATTGGATCACCTGCAACTGGAGTAACAGACAACTGTGAGGTGCCAAGTGGGTGCTTGGTATTGAACTCAGGCCCTCTGGAAAAGCAGCACGTATTCTTAACCACTGAGCCAGCTCTCCAGCCCCCTGACCTCACAATTTTCAGCTTTGTCTGGTAAAGAAGTCTAGGAAAATTTGGGGCACTGAGGATGTTTGTCTAATTGCTCCTTGAGAGAATTTCACTTTCCTTTCCTGTAGCAGTGTGTGATAATTGCAGGGCTTCTCACCACCTCCAGGCTAGTGGCCTTCCTTGGAGTTTAGTGGTCAGGGAATCACTGTGTGTATCATGTCATTCAGGAATTGCTGTGTGTCTCCTGTTGTCACGCCCCCAGGCTCCCACTCCTACTGCCCTCAGTCACCCCTGCTATTTTTCCATGTGCATTAAAGCAGTAGTTTCTCTTGCTCTTCCTGTCCAGTCGCTGCCTGTCTATAACCCTCCAAACAGCTTTCAGAGCCAGCCTTCCACAAGCTAGACATTATACCTCCCTGCTCCTTCTAGTCTTTGGGCTCATCCAGGATTTATTTCTAGCTCCTTTTAAATAGTCTTTATGGGGCTGGAGAGATGGCTCAGAGCTTAAGAGCACTGGCTGATCTTCCAGAGGTCCTGAGTTCAATTCCCAGCAACCACACGGTGGCTCACAGCCATCTGTAATAAGATCTGGTGCCCTCTTCTGGCCTGCAGGTATATAAGGAGGCTGAACATTGTGTATACAATAAATAAATAAATCTTTAAAAAAAAATAGTCTTTATCACCTGGCTCCTAGTTGTCTTTACAGTCCTGCCCGTAACCATTACAGTCCACTTGTAACTGTGGATACCAGGTCACTACCATTGCCAGTCCCTGATCATAATTATACCCTTTATATATACTGTTGCTACTTTTTTGAAGATTTTTGTTTGTTTGTTTTTGATTTTTTTTGGTGTTGTTGTTGTTGTTTTGTTTTTCAAAACAGAGTTTCACTGTGTAACAGCCCTGGCTGTTCTGGAACTCACTTTGTAGACCAGACTGGCCTTGAACACACAGAGATCCACCTGCTTCTGCCTCCCAAGTGCTGGGATTAAAGACCTGTGCCACCATGACCCAACCAAAAGACTTATTTTTTAAATTACGTATATGTGTTTGGTGTATCTGTGTTGTGGAGTGTGCATATATGAGTGCATAGGTCAGAAGCAAAAGATCCTGGAGCGGAACTAGAGAGATGGCTCAGAGGTTAAGAGCACTGGCTGCTCTTCCAGTGGTCCTGAGTTCAATTCCCATCAACCACATGGTGGCTCACAACCATCTGTAATGGGGTCTGGTGCCCTCTTCAGGCATGCAGGCATACTTGGAGGCAGAATGTTGTATACATAATAAATAAATCTTTATTAAAAAAAAAAGTCCCCTGGAGCTGTAGTTACTGATTGTTGTGAACTGCCTGGCATGGATGCTGAGAACTGAACTGAGGTCCTCTGCAAGAACACAAAGTGCTCTTAACCACTGAGCCATTTTCCCAACTGCCCCTCCCCCATTTTCTTAATTTAAACAGACTATCTTTCATCCCCCTGGTAGACTTCTGGAGCCTTTCTGTCACAGTGTGATTTTCTTCCTCAGTGCTGGTGTCAGCCACAGGGCTTTCCATATACTATGCAAGTACTCTACCACTGAGCTGTACCCCCACCTTTACATCGTGATATGGACGTATGATAGATTATTTATGTAGCAAGTTACTTGATGTAGTTGCTAATAAGTTACCTTTTGGAAGAACTCTATTCCTGTTAATACTGCAAGGCTCTAGATAACACAGACTTCAACAAGAAGCCTATCTATTAGAGAGAGTGAGATAAGAGAGGTTAGAAACCACCAGCTCTTCCCATCTGACCATGTCAGGTCCATCACGTAGTGTTTTTCTCTTTCTTCTTGCAGGTTATGAGGATGCAGGAAAACTGAGCCATGCCACATTAAAGAATGGCCACACAACCCCCATAGGAAGTGCCAGGTCGTCTAGTCCAGTCCTAGTGGAAGAAGAGCCAGTGAGAGTATCAAGTCTTCGAAATCTTATTCCAGAAGAGGATCCAAAGAAGAGACTAGGTAAGAGTGGGCTTTTGAGTCTGAAAGCCATAGACTGTTCTCATTTACCTCAGAGGACTGCAGGAGAGGGAAGTCAGATAGGGGAGAGGGATTCATGTTCTCAAGAAACTGCAGTTTTCTGCCCTTTTTACTCCCAACCATTCCCCCAAATTCCTAAATTTGTGATTCTTTCCTGCCCCATTCTTTTTTCTCTACTTGTTTGTTTCAAGACAGTGTCTCTATGTGTAGACCAGACTGGCCTTGAACTCACAGAGATCTTCCTGCCTCTGCCTCCCGTGCTGGGATTAAGGTTGTGTACTACTGTGCCTACCTCTCCACCTTCATTCTTTAACACAGAGTCTCACTCTGTAGCTCAAGCTGGCCTCCATCTCAGGGTGGTCTCACTGCCTTAGCCTCCCACATGCTGGGTTTCAGATGGGAGCCATCACTTAGCTCTTCTGTAGGATTTTGTCAAGCTCCACATTTGTGTTCTTCCCAAGGAATTTTGCATGTGTGCTTTTATGGGTGCAGGTCTAATATACATGTGGGTACCAGAAGCTGGCATTGTTGTTTGCTCTTCACCTTTTTTGGGAGGGGGGGCAGCTAAAATTTAGTTTTATTTGTTTTGTTTTGTTAATTTTGGTTTTCAAGACAGGGTTTCTCTGTGTAACTGTTCTGGACTGTCCTGAAACTCACTGTATAGAGCAGGCTGGCCTCAAACTCATAGGGATCTGCCCACCTCTGCCTTCAGAGTGCTGGGGCTTTTGCCACTACCACACATTTTATTTGTTTATTTTGAGACAGCATCTCTTACTGAACCCAGAGCTCATTGCTTGGCTAGAATGGATGGCCAGTAAACTCCAGTGGTCTTGTCTCTAACTCCATCTCCAGCACAGCACTAGGGTTAGAACCTAGCTTTTATGTAAATGTGTTGTTCTAATTATTCTTTATTAATAAGAATTCAGGGTAAGAACCTGCATGATTAGAGAAGCACTGGAGAAGCAACCAGTGACTTCCTATCTTTTTTGTTCCTCCATCCAAAAGGGCTGAGACCCTCTCCAAGCCTTGCCTACTACTTCCTGTGTCTCTTTCCTCAGTCCTCTAAAACCTCTATGGTTAAATTTGTCAGCAGGCTAGCTCTGCCTTCTAATTCAAAACAAACTTTATTGTCAATCTTGGGAGTGTCAGAATGCAATCAAGGTATCACACAGTAGTGGAGATTTGCATGGCAGGAACTTACCTGGGATGTCTTTGGTAGGAGGCTCTTGTATGAAGAAGCATCACTACCCTTACTGACCTCTCTTATGGACACTTCCTAAGCATGTTGAATGCATCTGGAACATGGTCTATTCACTAATCTGTAAATTCATTGATGAAGTTGGTTGTAAATGTGTTCACATTTTCAGTCTCTCTTCCTTTTTAAATCCTATCATTTGTTGCATAGGCTCAACAGGAAGCCAGCCCAACTCTGAAGCCGAGTCTGCTCCTGAGCATGCACCTAAGCAGCCTCTGGTCCCTCCAAGCAGATCCTCGTCCTCTTCTTCTGAAGCAAGTGAAGGGCAAGCGAAGGACACCATGCCTGGCAGTGCAGCGAGGTCCCTGTCCTCCATTTCTGGCTCTACCCCCACCGCACCTGGTGTCCCCACTGCTGCCACAAACGTGGCAAAGACTGCTAATTCCTTTGTCAGCCCTACCCCAGCCCCCAGGACTCTGCCTGCTGCTCCTGCCAGCACTAACACTGCTGTCACTCAAACAGCCCCTGCCAAGCAACCCCCAGTCCCACCCCCTAAACCAGCTCACAGAAACAGCAACCCTGTCATTGGTAAGTCTTCAGATTTTAGGTTTGGTTTAGTTTTGGACAGTTATTTTATTGAATGACTACTAGATTCTGATTTGATCTGTGGAAGAGTTTTCTAATTCATCTCTTTGAATATTCTCAATATAGAAAAAAGTTTTAGAACCAGGTGGTGGTGGTGCACACCTTTAATCTTAGCACTTGGGAGGCAGAGGTAGGCAAATCTCTGTGAGTCTGAGGCTAGCCTGGATTACAAAATAAGTTCCAGGACAGCCAGGGCTACACAGAGAAACCCTGTCTCAAGAAGAAAGAGAGAGAGAAAAGTTTGCTTTGTTTTGTTTTTTAATTTCAAATATATTGTTGTTTTGCCTGCATATGTGTCTGTCTGAATATGGGGTTTATTATAGAAGTATTACAAAACTAACTTAGCACTGCTTGTTTTCTTTATTTCATAATTACAATTTTGAGAATTTAAAAAGAATATCCCCTAGAACTGGGCATTGGTGACACTTGGGAAGTACTCAGGTGGCAGAGACAGGATTCAAGGACATCAGCTTTGGATATGTGAGTTCGAGGCTAGCCTGGGCACATGAAACTGTCTCAGCTCCTCTCTCTTTGATAAAAACAAAAGCAGCAATAGTGAAAATACGTTAATATAGTAGAGGTACTGGATATTGAAGGCAAGCGCAAGCTTGACCATCATGGATTGCCTTTGTTCAGGGAGAAAATGAGAATGGTGGCACAGTTTACAAGGGGCAAGGCAAGTGTCTCATCTACTCTAAACATAAGTCTGGTAGGTAAAGTGATGGTTTTGTCAGTGTCCTGACTTGTGATTCAGTGTTCAGTCTAGTATCTTCATGGGAACTACAGAGGTGTTTAAGTTGTATGGATAACATCGTATTTTATCTTGGGGAGAGTTAAAAATGCTACTCTTGCTGGGTGCGGCGGCATGCTGTAAACTTGAGCACTCAGGAAATGGAGGCAGGAGAGGTTGCCAAAATTGAGGTTGTCCTGGTCTGCATAGTAAGTTCCAGCTTGGGGTCTGTAGATCCTGTCTCAAAAATAGATAGACAGACAGATTGATAGATTGATACATTGATAGATTTTTTTTTAAATGATGGTAAAGGAAGCCAGACCTGCTAGAACAGGCCTATGATCTCAGCTACTCAGGATTGCAAATTCAAGGCCTTCAGTGTTGAACTTAGTGAGATCCTATCTCAAAATGTTAAAGAACAGTGAGGGCTAAGGATACAGCTGGTGTGCATGTGTGTCTCCGTGCGTCTGGTGTGCAGTGCTGGCCTAGTGTAGATAGGCCTGGCTTCGCTCCTCAGGAGCACTACAGAACGAAAGCCAGGAAGTGTACAGTGTGTGTTTATAGGTTTAGGAAATTACTTTGACTTTTCCTAAAGTCTTGTTTTGGTCTATATTTCTATCATAATTGTACTTTGTACAAAAATTTTCCAGAAAGGGGGGGAAAAGGAAAAGCTGTCACTGATAAGAGTTTCAGAGATAATGAAATGGTAATTTTTCAGGAATAATAATATTAGGTTTACCCTGCTTAAAGTTCTTGTTAATGATTTCACAGCTAATGAATAAAAAGTATGCTCATTAAGACTCTTGATGTCAGTCAGCTGGGTGGAGTGACTGGCTCCTTAATCAGGCTTCAGGATCTACAGGTTGGTGTAGCACAGTAGGAAGAGGCCTTGATGGATGTCGTCCTGACTTAGCTTTCACCCGGACTCTCACACCCTCCATGGGCTGCAGTGAGCGATGGTGTCTCTTCTGTGCAGAGGCAGTGATAGCTGCGCTGTTGGTTGAGTTCACCTTGAAGGTCCTTGTGGATGAGGGGGCTTTGATTCCAGAGGCTCCGATGTCAGTAAGCCCAGCCTAGGGCCAGTGAGCAAGTATTTCTGATAGATTCGCAGGGGCTGTCCATGCTGCTAGTCCGGGGACCGTGTTACACACTCCTTACACAGAGGATCACTAGCTGGCTGTGTGCTGCACTGGGGAGGGAGGAGTGGAGGGTCATCCTCAGCTGCATAAGGAAGTCCGAGAATTGATAGCCCAGAGCAGTAGGCCCTAAGAATCAGCACTGTTCTATGGCATGTCCTCACAGAAGAAAAATGGGTAAGTCACAGAGTTTTTGTTAAGATTAAATAGGTATGACTTAAAGGTTGGACTTCTAAAATAATGACCTTCCTAATGCTTTGATCCTAAAATACCATTTCTGTCACAAAAGGATTATGATCGCAGATGGTTTATTATCAGCTGTTACTTAGAAATCCTTAGGAATGATAGGTTGGGTTGGGGGTGTCTTGGAGAGATGACTCAGCAGTTAAGTACACCTCCTCTTCTTTCAGAACTAGTTGGTTTGATGTCCTGTAATTTTAGCTCCCAGGCATTCAGTGCCCTTTCCTAGCCTCTGTGGGCACCTACACATAAACATACATAAAAATAAAATAAAGCTCTAAAAGTAGAAAGAAAGATGACTTAGGGCCTAGGAAAGGGCTATCTGTGAAGCACAAGGACCTGTGTTCCACCTCTAGGATTCACATTTAAAAAGTGTGTGTGGTGGTGCACTGTGAGTGCTAGGGAAACAGAGGCAGGTGGACTCTCGAGGTCACAGGTCAGTCAGGCAAGTCTCAGATCTCAGTGAAAGAATATCTTAAAAAACAAGATTAAGACCAGGCCAATCATACTAAATTCAGGTCAATCTACAAGCTACTTAGTGAGACCTTCTTTCAAGAAAAATAAAGCAATTTACTTCATCAATTAAAAATTAAAATGGGGGGAGGGGCTGGAGAGATGGCTCAGTGGTTAAGAGCACTGACTGCTCTTCCAGAGGTCCTGAGTTCAATTCCCAGCAACCACATGGTGGCTCACAGCCATCTATCATGAGACCTGGCACCCCCTTCTGGCTTGCGGGCACACATAGAAGGAATGCTGTACACATAATAAATATTTAAAAAAAATTAAAATGGGCCAGGCAGTGGTTGCACAAGCCTTTAATCCCAGCACTCATGAGTCAGAGGCAGGCGGATCTCTGTGAGTTCGAGGCCAGCCTGGTCTACAAGAGCTAGCTGCAGGATAGGCCTCAAAGATACAGAGAAACCCCAACTCGAAAAAAAAAATTAAAACTTAAAATGTTCACCCGGGTGGTAGTGGTGCACGCCTTTGATCCCACCTCTCAAGAGGCAGAGGCAGGCAGATCTCTGTGAGTTCAAAGCTAGTCTGGTATACAGACCAAGTTGCAGGACAGCCAGAGCTGTCATTACACAGAGAAACTGTCTCCAAAAACAAAATCAAATATGGTCCTTGTTGTGATGGTGTCACACACCTTTAATCCCAGCACTCTGGGGGCAGAAACAGGCAGATCTCTGTGAATTCGAGGCCAGCCTGGTCTACAGAGTGAGTTCCAACACAGCCAGGGCCACACAGAGAAGCCCTATCTTGAAGTCTGTCTAGAGACAGTTTTATTGTAGATGGAGCAGCTAACTGCTATTCTTACCTTTGCATATCAGGTGCAGTGTTTTCCTAGGCTGTTCTTTTTTTTTTGTTTGTTTGTTTGTTTGGGGTGAGGTTTTCTGTTTGTTTCTTAATTGTTTTTATTTAGTTTTCCTGACTCAGTCTCATCTGTAGTCCAGTCCTTGAAATCACTTTGTAGCAAGGGTGATCTTGAACTCTCGCTGCTGAGATCCTAGCACATACTACAGTGTCAACATAAAATACCCTCTGTGAAGACTGGTTAGGATAAGTGAGCAAGACCAGCTCACTCTTTGAATTTATGCATGGAATGAGATTAAGGGCAAATAACATTTTATTTGGGGAAATTTATAGATTCTTTGAGAACATTGGAGAAACTAAAATAAAAGATTCAGATAGACGATTAGAGGTTGCTCATCAAAAGAACGCCTCTTTAATTGGTTCACAGGTTAGCTTCCATATGATGTGATGGCCCACTTCTTACATAGATCAATGCCTGAGTCATGTGGGCTCTGGGAAGATCAGTAGGGATGTGCTGTCATGCTATAGAGTAAGAGCGTCTCATAAACACGTATTGAGGGCACACTATGTGTATCCCTGGGAACATGCTACGGATGGAGGCAAGAGCTGTTCTGCCATCAAACCTAGAGTGCGATGCAAAGTGACCATGGTGCACAAAGCATTAAGAGGTGTGCTCACTGATTCTAACAACATGGGTACCCTGGGTTCCAGCTAAAGGTACCTCTCCATTAAGAGGTGTGCTCACTAATTCTAACAACATGGGTACCCTGGGTACCAGCTAAAGGCCATGCTTGTTTGTAGTGTGATCTAGGACAAGCTACCTAAAGTCTAACTTCTAGTTTTCTTTATGGAAGAAGAAAAAATAAGATGAGACCTTGTTTTCCCTTGTCACCTCAGGTGGTGCTGGTGAGGAAGGCATAGAGACAGGTCTGCTGAGGAGGCCCAGTGTTAAAGGTACTTGTCACCAAGCTTGACAACTCAGTTTGATCCTCATGACTTACTTGGTGTAAAAAAAGAACCAGTTACCCCCAAGTTGCTTGTTTTTTTTTGAGATAGGGTTTCTTTGGTAGCCTTGGCTGTCCTAGAACAAGCTCTGTAGACCAGGCTGATCTCAAACTCACAATGATCTGCCTACCTCTGCCTCCTGAGTGCTGGGATTAAGGTGTGCGTTACCATTGCCCAGCAATTTAAAAGCTTTTTAAAAAAACATTAAAAAAAAAAAAACAGTTTAGTTTCTTTGAACGGCTGTGTATTTGCCATATAAGTCAAGACTTATTAAATAGCTTTATTGAATTTTATTAAACAATATATAATACAAAGCTAAGATATTAAGGTGTCATCATTTAACAGGGTAATGAAAGAATGCCCAAGAAATTGGGGTGCTTTTGGTTTTAATTAATTTATTATTAGTGTGTGTGTGTGTGTGTACATGCTATGTGTGAGTGCCAATACGCACACATCACAGTGCACTGTGGAGGTCGAAAGACAGCTTTCAGGAATTGCTGCTCACCTTCCACTGTGAGTTAAGGATCAAACTCAGGTCATCAGGCTTGGAGGTATGTGCCCTTACCTACTGAGCCATCCTGTCCACCCAGGTTGCAGTTTTAAGACCAAATTTTGTAAAGTGTTGTACTCTCCTCCTCATCCCCAGCTACACAGAGAAGACAGTCTTGCTATTTAGCCCTGATTGACCTGGAGCTAGGTATGCAGAGAAGTCTGGTCATGAACTTGTGCTGCTCTTCCTGAGTGCTGGGATCATGGCGCTGGAGAGATGACACAGCAGTTAAGAGCACTGACTGCTCTTCCAGAGGACCTAGATTTGGTTCCCAGCACCCACGTGGCAGCTCACAACTGCCCGTAACTCTAGTTTCAGGGGATCCACTGCCTTCTTTCTGGCCTCTGGAGGCACTAGTCCAGGTACATTATAAGATGCACAGACATACATGTAGGCACAACACTCATATACGTAAAATAAAAAATAAAAAAAGACAATTTTTTTTTTTAGACATGGTTTCCCTATGTAGGCCTGGCTGTCCTGGAAATAGCTCTGTAGACCAGGCTAGCCTTGAACTCACAGAGATCCAATTGCTTCTGCCTCCCGGGCACTGGGATAAAAGGCATTTACTACTACTGCCCAGTTACAAACAAGTTTTTAATAAGTTTTTTTTTCTGGATCTATTCTGTTTATTCCATCAGCTCAGAGATGTCATATGTATCATCATAGTAATTAAATGTTAATCATCAGATTAACATTCTTACAGCTCTACTACTCATTAGATCTTCTACCTGGATAAATACCAAGTTTCTTTCAGGTATTTAAGAAATTATAAATTTCGGGGCTGGAGAGATGCCTCAGTGATTAAGAGCATTACCTGCTCTTCCAAAGGTCCTGAGTTCAATTCCCAGCAACCACATAGTGGCTCACAACCATCTGTAATGAGGTCTGGTGCCCTCTTCTGGCCTGCAGACATACACGCAGACAGAATATTGTATACGTAATAAATAAATATTTATTAAAAAAGAAATTATGAATTTCAAAGCCATGAAATTATATAATTTGCCTGAAAGCTTAGATCTGACCTAGGTCTTCCGTGCATTGTAAGACTGTGTTAACAATGTGTTGCTCTCTTCTTCCCAGCTGAACTGTCCCAAGCAATGAATAGTGGTTCACTGTTGCAGAAACCATCCCCACCCTTACCACCCAAGAGAGGCATTCCGTCAGCCTTGGGACCCACCTCAGAGCCTGCTGCTTCACCCACAACAAAAACAGCAAGTGATCAAAGAGAAAAAACTGTCTCTGTGTGGGAACCACCGCTGATGATCCCGCCATCCTCCCCATCGCCCCCGCTGCCTACCCACATACCTCCAGAGCCACCACGGTCCCCATCGTTCCCTGCTAAGACTTTTCAAATTGTGTCAGAAGTTGAGTTTTCCCCTCCTTTAGATCTATCCCAGGACCTTTCCCAGCAGGAAGATCAGAAAAAGGAAGTCCCCAAGAAGATACAGGACCAGAGTTTTGGGGAACCCCATATACCCTCCAGGCTGCCCCCACTCCCGCTGCATATCCGAATTCAGCAGGCCCTTACTAGCCCCCTTCCTGTGACTCCTCCCTTGGAAGGCGCTCACAGAGCTCATTCCCTGCTGTTTGAGAGCAGTGACGGCTTCTCTGAGGACAGTGGTACCCTGGGGCGGACCAGGTCACTTCCCATCACCATTGAGATGCTTAAAGTGTGAGTGTTCATTGCTTGCCTCCTGTTCCTGTGCTTAGTGTACATAGCCCCACATGGGAGGCAGCCTCAGAAAATGTGGGCAAATTCAAGTTCAAGAAATGCCCTGCCAGGAGTGTCAGTTCTAGAAACGGCTTTTTTTACCCTGCTAACTTCTCTCAACTTGTGTTTTTGTAAATGGATTTTTATGATGATTTCTGTGTCGACACCAAAAGTACCTGTTTGTGGATGTGAATATTAACTCTATAAGTTTTACATGATACACATGTGTTACATGGTGCTTCAGAACTTTTGCTGATAATGAAGAAGCCCTGGGTTATCATATCTCTCCAAGTCCTGGCTTGTCACTCAGCCTCTCTTGCTTAGTATCTAACCTAAATAAGGGGAGTGTCTACTCTAAAGACTTCTGTGAATGGAATTAGGCAAATTCTGAAATGTATCAGTATCTACTAAGAAACAGTGAAGGATTTGAGCCCAGTGCTTTTTAGATTCATAAATTCTAAAAAGCTTCTTGGGAAAAATGTTAATGGTTTGTTTGTTTGTTTATATACTTTATGTATATGAGTATTTTGTCTAAGGGTATCCATTACCCGTTATAGATGGCTGTGAGCAACCATGTGGTTGCTGAGAATTGAACTCAGGATCTCTGGAAGAGAACCAGTGATCTTAACCTCTGAGTCATTCCTCTAGCCCCGAAGAATGTTAATGTCAAGACAGGGATTCATGTGTCTTCTACTAATGGTCTTTTCGTGTGTGTTTCTATCCTTTTGAAAAGCCTCATTGTTTCTGAAAGGCAAAACCATATTATGTTCATTTGTTAGTCCAGATGATGATGAAGAAGAGCAGACCTGCCCACTGGCATTTGCTGAAGATATGACACCTGCCTCTGGCACTCCTAAACTACCACCGTGTCTGCAAGAGGAAGGGAAGGAGAGTGACTCCGATTCAGAGGGCCCTATTCAGTATCGAGATGAAGAAGATGAAGATGATGAAGATGAAAGCCATCAGAGTAAGAAACAGAGGGAAAGTGTGAAAGTTCTTTTGTTTGTCGTGCTGGGGGCTGGGCACCACACATGCCAGGCAACTCTCTGTCCATGAGCTAGATCCCCAGCAAGTGCGGAAACAGGTATCCTGTTCCGTGGAGTCCTCTGGCTGTTGGAGGCAGGTGTGAAGGACTCTGCCTCCCTTTTAGCGTGCCTCAGTTGAAGGAAGCCATGAGAGGGAGCCACATTGACAGAATCATTTGGATTTATTTTATTTAATTTTGAGATAAACTGTGTAGCCTTCATTAGCCTGGAATTCACTGTGTAGACCAGGGTGGCCTTGAACTCACAGACATCTATCGGCCTCTGCCTCCTCAGTGCTAGGACTAAAGGTGTGTGCCATCGTCATTCAGATTCTTGGTTTATATTTTAGATCTGCTTCCCCAGAGACCAGTGGTATAGTTAAGTTGTGAAGTTTGTGCTAAGCACAGAGCCTGGATTCAGTGCTCAGTACAAAATTAAAAAAATGAAAACCAAAGCCATTCACCTTGAAGATAGAGGCTAAGAATTATAGAGAAAAGCTGGAAAGAGATTACACTGAAGAGCGAGGTAAGATGCTGGAGAAGGAGCTGGCTCAGCAGTTAAGAATGGATACTACTCTTGCTTCCCAGCACCCATGTTGGGTAGCTCACAACCACCTGTGACTCCCAACTCCAGGGGATCCAATACCTCTGGCCTCTGAGGGAACCTACACTCAATGTGCCCACACCTCCACACAGATATAAACACACATACGTCATTAAAAAAAGCTTAAAGGAAAGACTTAAATAAAAGAGATAAATGATGCTTCCAAAGGTCCTGAGTTCAATTCCCAGCAACCACATGGTGGCTCACAACCATCTGTAATGAGGTCTGGTGCCCTCTTCTGGCCTGCAGGCATACACACAGATAGAATACTGTATACATAATAAATAAATAAATATTTAAAAAAAAAAGGTAAATGATGATTTTTCTTAATATAATGAACTTCTTGATAACCTAAACTAAAAAGTGTGTTTTTCTGGATGTGGTAGCTCACACCTATAACCATAGCATCTGAGAGTCTAAAGCAAAAGGATTACATTAGTTAGAACATAGCCCGAACTGCTAAATTAGCTCAAAAACCAAGAAAGGGTTCTGGAGAGATGGGAACAGGAAAGGGGAGTGTGGGAGTGTCAGCTACATGAAACCCGTCTCCAAACAGCAAAGAAAGCAAGGGTAGGAAGAGAATGATGACTCTAGTCCACTTTCTAAGGGGCAGAGGTAAGAGATTGTGACCTCGGGAGTTTGAGCACAGCCTGGCAACATAGCAAGACTCTCTCTCAAAACAGTGATGAAGAGATGACAAGATTTACTAATATAAAAGCTTTCATGTTTTTTTTAATATTTATTTATTTATTATGTATACAATATTCTGTCTGCATGTATGCCTGCAGGCCAGAAGAGGGCACCAGACTTCATTACAGATGGTTGTGAGCCACCATGTGGTTGCTGGAAATTGAACTCAGGACCTCTGGAAGAGCAGACAGTGCTCTTAACCACTGAGCCATCTCTCCAGTCCAAAAGCTTTCATGTTTTAAGTCAGAAGACTGTCCCAGAGCAGGCTAGATTCCGTCTTTAGAAACTCTCACTGTCAGGGCAGTGGTGCACACGCCTTTATTTCCAGCATTTAGGATGCAGAGACAGGAAGATCTCTGTAAGTTCGAGACCAGCCTGATCTAGAATGCAAGTTCCAGATCAGGTCTGTTACACAGAGAAACTCTGTCTTGAAAAACAAACAAAATAAAATAAAATAATAAGGGAACTAGAAAAAATGGCTCATTGGTTAAGAGTAATGGCGGCTCTTACAGAGGACCCGGGTTCTTTTCCCAGCACCTACCTGGCAGCTCACAACTGTCTGTAACTCTAGTTCCAGGGAATCTGATACCCTGAGAAATGTGCACATAAAATAAAAAAATAAAACTTGGGCAGAGGTGGTGCACACTTTTTGTTTTTTTTTGGTTTTTCGAGACAGGGTTTCTCTATGGTTTTGGAGCCTGTCCTAGGACTAGCTCTTGTAGCCCAGGCTGGTCTCGAACTCACAGAGATCCGCCTGCCTCTGCCTCCTGAGTGCTGGGATTAAAGGCGTGCGCAACCACCGCCCGGCTGGTGCACACTTTTTAATACCAGCACTCAGAAGGCAGAGGCAAGTGGATCTCTGTGAGTTCAAGTCCAGCCTGGTGAAAGCTTCAGAGAAACCCTGTCTCGAGAAACAAAAAAATAGATAAATAAATAAATAAAATTAAAATAAAAACTTAATTCTCACTAAATGAGGAAAGTGTAGAGTGAAATGTATCCTTTATCTGTCTCGTTCTATTTTGCTGAAAATTATCTTTAAGTGCCTTGATGTCTTATGTTGTTCCTTCCTCTGAGTTTGGCTCATTCAAAGCCAAATGGGCTGCTGGGAGTTGTATTCTCACGCTCTTGCATGGTTCACATGAGCCTCTGTGCCTTAGCATTTTTTTTCCCCTGTGTAAAGGTGCTCTGGCCAACAGAGTGAAGAGGAAAGACACGCTGGCAATGAAGCTGAGCAGCAGACCCAGTGAACCAGAGTTGAACCTGAATTCCTGGCCTCGTAAAAGCAAGGAGGAGTGGAATGAAATACGGCACCAGATTGGGAACACGCTGATCCGGTACGCCTTTGCATTTGGGTTTGTGTATGTCAGACCCTTGGAAATGAAGCATTCATCTGTTTTTTAAAAAAATAATTTTTAACAGTGTGTGTTCGACAGGTGGAGTTCTCTAAGCTTTAGGAGATGGGGAACATCATTGATGGCATTGGGAGTTTTCAGTCATCACATAACACAGGAGGCTCAGACAGGTTGCTAAAGAAGTCAGGCTGGTTTCCAGGACATGCAGATTCCTGTGTGACTTATCCGATTGCTGAACCATGAAATGCCAACCTAACTCATCATACCTGTATTTTTTTTTTAAATAAGTACTATGTAGCTACTTCTTTTAAAAAAGTTAGTATATTTTTCAAGTCAGCTGGAGTCAAAAAGGAGGGAAGTGGAATGCAGGCCAACCTCTTGTTTATGCAATGAGCATATTTGTGTATGGACAGATGTTTACATGGCATAGACACTTCCCCCGTCTAAAGGGATAAAAGGAAGAAAAAACTCTTCTCCCTACAAGAAAAGTTAACTGAGGGCGTCCATCACTTAAGGCCCAGCCTTCTTTCCTACTATAGACGTCTAGCTTTTCTTTCTTTCCTTTCTTTCTTTCTTCCTTTCTTTCTTTCTTTCTTTCTTTCTTTCTTTCTTTCTTTCTTTCTTTCTTTTTTAATTTAAATTTATTTTGTGTGTGTTGGTGTAAAGGTGTCAGATCCCCTGGAACTGGGGTTACAGTTGTGAGCTGCCATGAGGGTGCTGGGAATGGAACCCAAGTCCTCTGGAAGAGCAGCCACCCCTCCAGCTCCACTTTCCTTGTACACAGACTGTGTGTTCATTCTGCATCTAGAAACAAGACAGGCCCTTTGTATACTCTGGCATTTGGGGTGCTGAAGTCATTATCTCATACTGTGTATCAGTTACTTTAGAGGGGGATAGATAGACCCATTTCAAACAAGAAAAGTTGTGAGAAAATACACCATTTACCTAGATGTGTTAGTGCGTACTATTTGCCTTACTGATTATTGTGTACAGTGCCAATATGCATGTACTTTGGGTTTGGGGTTTTTGTTTGTTTGTTTTTTTTTTTCCCCAAGACAGGGTTTCTCTGTGTAGCTTTGGCTGTACTGGAACTCACTCTGTAGACCAGGCTGGCCTTGAGCTCACAGAGATCCACCTGCCTCTGCTGTGTAACATTGGGGGGTCCTGTTTGTTTGTTGGGGTTTTTGTGCCGCCCGGTACCCCACAACTGTTTGGCCCCCAAAGAAAATCACACATAGGTCTCTAAGTTATAAAGCTGATTGGCCCATTAGCTCTAGCCTCTCATTGGCTAACTCTCACATCTTGATTAACCCATTTTTCTGATCTATGTTAGCCATGTGGCTCAGTACCTTTTTTCAGTGGGGCAGATCACATCCTGCTGCTTAGGTGATCTGGGCAGGAGTGGGAGGAATCAACTTCCCCTTCCCAGAATTCTCCTGTTCTCATTCTATCATTTCTACTTCCTGTCTGATTTTCCTGCCTATATTTTCTGCCTGGCCAATCAGCGTTTATTTAAAACATGATTGACAGAATACAGACAATTATCCCGCAACATGCTGAGTACTAGAATTAAAGACGTGGGCCACCATACCTGGCTCAGGGACTCTACTTCAAAGTACTTCAGCATAGTCTTCTATGAAGAAGTAATAGTTAGAAAATTATAGGAAAAAGAAAACCTAAGGGCTAACAAGTTGGGTTAGTGTGTAAAGGTGCTTGCCACCAAGCTCTGCAACTTGAATTAATTCCTGGCACCCAAGTAAGAGAAGGAGAGAATCCACTCCTGAGTTTTCAGTGGTCCCACCTATGTGTTCTGGTCACGGGTGTGCCTCCTCCTAGCACACGTCCAGATGCACAAACACACACAAAAGTAAATGTGATTAACATTTTAAAAGAAAAAGCCTGGTACACACCTTTAACCCCCACTCAGAAGGCAGAGGCAGGTAGATCTCTGCAGTCCCAGCCAGGACTACACAGAGAAACCCTATCTCAAAAGAAAGAAAGAAAGGAAGGAAGGAAAGGAAGGAAGGAAGGAAGGAAGGAAGGAAGGAAGGAAGGAAGGAAAAAGAAAAAAGAAGAAAATGTTAACTGCTTATAATCCTATGCCTTATAAAATAGGGTTGACCAACTTCTCTAAAGGACAGAAAACCAGTATTTCAGTTGGGTGTGGTAGCATCTGTCATCCCAGAAACAGTGAGCTAGCGTTCAAGACCACCTGCAGGTACATAATGAGTTTGAGGATAATCTAGGACTACCTGAGGCCCCTCCTCAAAAAAATGAGAGAAAACGTTTATGATTTCAAGCCACATACATTCTCTTTTCTGAATTTATAGTTTGTTGACTTTTTGAGATCGGGTTTCATGGCAGTTAGGATGAGGTTACAGCTATGTGCCACCATGCCTGGCTACAGGCTCTTTGCTTCCTGTGGTGCCAGGGATAGAGCACAGGTCCTCATGCAAGCTAGGCGAACGCCCCATCACTGAACTGTATTGTTTTATGTGTGTGTGTGTATTAAACAATTTTTTTAGACCTCAGATGTGCTCTTTCAGAAGACTTGAATTTGGTCCTCAGCATCCACATCAGGCAGTTTACAGCTGCCTGTAACTCCCACTCCAAGGGATTTAACACCTCTGGTCCCCAGAACACACAATTAAAAATAATAAAATCTTTTTTATCCCCCTTTGGTTACTTGTATAGCCCTGGCTGTTATGGAACTCCTCTGTAGACCAGGCTGGCCTTGAACTCAGAGATCTGCCTGCCTCTGCCTCTGTTTTGAAGTAGAGTCTTACTATGTAGCCCTGGCTCTCCTGGAACTTGCTGTGTAGACAGGCTGACCTCGAACTTTCAGGAGTCCACTTGCCTCTGCCTTCCGAGTGCTAGGATGAAAGACTCAGACCACCACCAGTGACCAAATATATAGTCTTTGTCCTTACTTCTAATGTTCACTGTGTAACTGATACAATTAATTGAGTCAGAGCCCTGTTAGTTAGTGTTTACCTCTGGTGTTTTGTTCCTCTAATTAATTCTAGTCAGTGGTTCTCACACTTAAGCATTCATTTGGCAGGCTTAACTTACCTGGCAGGCTTGTTTAAAAGCAAATTGTTGAGTTCCACCCAGAGTTTTTGCTTCAGGGCGGTGCCTGGGTTGTATTTCTTGTTTGTTCATATGACTGATCCTGGGGCCACTTTGAAAGTCAGGATTCTATGAGTTCCCACCAGTATGCTCACTGCAAAAGTTCTGGGGAGGGCTGGAGAGATGGCTCAGAGGTTAAGAGCACTGGCTGATCTTCCAGAAGTCCTGAGTTCAATTCCCAGCAACCATATGGTGGCTCACGACCATCTGTAATTTGATCTGGCTCCCTCTTCTGGCATGCAGACTGAACACTGTGTAATAATAAATAAATATTTTTAAAAAAAAGTTCTGGGGATTATAGTGTAAACTCTTCTGTCTTTATATGGCCATCAGGTATATTTTAAAACACTCAGCATTTGGCCAGGTGTGTGTACCTTTAATCCTATTACTTGGAAGGCAGAGGCAGGTGAATCTTTAAGTTTGATACTAGCCTGGTCTACACATCAAGTTCTAGGACAGTCAGGGCTACACAGTGAGACCATGTCTCAAAACAAAAATATGTTCAGCATCACTAAACCAGAGACATCTGTTCACACAAGATTTATGAGATGATGAACACCTTTTTTTTTTTGAGACAGAGTTTCTCTGTGTTGCCCTGGCTGTCCTGGAAACTCACTCTGAAGACCAGGCTAGGGTTAAAGGTGTGCACCACCATCACATCCTGCAAGGATTCTTTTTGTTAATTTTTTTTTTTAATGTGTATGAGTGTTTTGACTGTATTTAACCAAGTGTGTACAGTGCCCAAGAAACTCAGCCCCCCTGGAACTAGAGTTGTAGTTGGTTTTGAGCTGCTACATGGATGCTTGGAACCAAACCCAGGTACTCTGGTAGAACAACCAGTGCTCTTAACTGCCAAGCTACCTCCACACTTACCTACCTTTCCATTCTGAGGCAGGATCTTTTACATCTCTCCTCAAGTGCTGGCCTCACAGTATAAAGCCACCACATTCAGCATAATATTGTGTGTGTGTGTGTGTTAGCACTTTCAGTATCAAACTGGTTTCCTGCTAAACAAATCAGCTACTGAAGTATATGTTAGAAATGTTACTGATTCTTTGTTATAGATCAATATAAATCTTGGCCAAAACAAACAAAAAAGCAAACAAACAACCCCAAAATCCTTAGAAATGGTGGTTGGAGGTTTGCTGTGGGCAGTTAAGTACCCGTGTCTCTCTCTTGTAGGCGACTGAGTCAAAGACCGACCGCAGAGGAGCTGGAGCAGCGGAACATACTACAGCGTAAGTCCAGCCTTTGTGCACCATGAGTGTAATATGCACTAGGACAGAGTATTTGCTAAAAGGGCCAAGGAGAGTTAGTTCCTGCTCAGGAAGCCCAGTTCCTAGGAAGATGTCACCATGATATTGTTTAGTGTACTGTGTTATGTTTTCTAGCTCCTGGGTCTGTGATGGCATTTGTGATAGTGTGTGCAGGCTTGGCCTATGCCTTTGTTCAGGGAGCTGAGATAGTGGCTGAGCTGATGGACAGGACATTCCTCTTCCTGGTGGATTCTAAGGATAAGGCCCAGAATATTCCTTCTGCTTTTATTGCTTGACTTGTATTTCTGTAGCCACCAAAGAGGAATGCGTATCTAACTTCCTGCCTATGTGCATAGTTAACCCGGAACAATGTTCTGACCTAAGACTGACTTTGTTTTACCAGCGCTTTGACTTAGAACCTGTGCTCTGTTGCTCACCCCCTTCCTCTCTGGGGATCTGTAGCTCCTGAGGACAGGTGGCAGCCCTGCCTCCCACTCCCATCTCATCACTGCTTGTCTCCATCCCAGTCAAAATCACCAGAAATAGTCCCAGCCAGGTCTTTCCACTGCTGCTCCCTTTGGTCTTCCCACCCCAAGCCATGTTAGTTCCTTCTCACAGCAGGGATTCTCACCCTTTGCTCTCAGCACACCCTGAACTCTGGAGATTATGCTCTTCCCTTAAGGCCACTCTGTCCATGTGCCTTGGAAGTACCTACCTGAGTGAGGAATCTGAGCTGAGCCCCTAGGACAAGGACCAGTCATATCCTGGGATACCCTGTGTCCTTGTGTCTCAAGTCCCACCCCTCTGACTGTGCCTGCAGTCCTGTTTGCCCCTCAGAGAGTGATCTCTTCTAGACAGCTCTTACTTATTTCATCCCTGTGGATACGGATGCAGAGGGATACAGGAGTGAGGAGGAAAGGAAGCAAAAGGGAAAGGGGTTCAGTGATGAAGGATGGGGGTGCCTGTGATAGAGGTTCTCCTCAGAGACTGTGGGATGACTGAAAGTGTTACTAGCAGAGAAATGGAAGGATCTCCTAGAGCTGCTTCCGAGCATGCCGTCTGACCGACCCATCGCCTGTTTTCTCGGTGCTTTCTGGATCTACATTCACAGCCTAGGTACTCAGTGAATTTATAATTGAGAACTTTATAGGTGCTGCCCTCGACAGGACGCGGTGTCAGTCACCTATTTTTAGGGATTACTCTGGAAACTTTTTTTTTTCCGTTTCTTAAGAAAGATTCATATATTTCATTTGCATATATGTGTGAACATGCGTATGAGTGCAGGGGCCACTGTGACCAGAGGCTTCAGATCCCCTGGAGCCAGAGTCACAGGCAGTTGTGCGCCACCCAGTACAGTGCTGGGAGCTAAATTAGGGTCCTCTGCACGAGCAGTATGCATTCTTTTTTATGTGTAATTTATTATTTTATTTGTATGTGTTTTGCTTGCACATGTGTCTGTGCAGCACATGAAGAGGGGGCATCAGGTCCTCTGGAACTGGAGTTACTCTTCAGCCCCTAGAAACTATTTTCCCCCAAGAAAAGTTTTTATTTATTCTTATTACTCATGCTTGTATGTATGTGTTGTGAGTGTGTGCCATATTTGAGGTGGGGTGATGGTAGGCCAGAAGAGGGAGTGGAATTCCCACACCCAGCTGGAGTTACAGGCAATCGTGAGCCTCCACTGTGGTTTCTGGGAATTGGACTCAGGTCCTCTAGTGCAGCAAGTACACTGAACTATCTCCTGCAAACGCCCTCTTCAAGAGCACTGTAGTCAATATTAGCAATATGTCCAGCTCTGTAGATCTTTAAACACATGGAAACCTTTAAGTACCTCTAAAGTGTTTTAAAAATGTGAAAAACTGCTGGGTGGTGGTGGCAAAGGCCTTTAATCCCAGCATTCGGGAGGCAGAGGCAGGCGGATCTCTGTGAGTTTGAGGCCAGCCTGGTCTATAAGAGCTAGTTCCAGGACTGTTACACAGAGAAAGCCTGTCCCAAACAAAGTAAAAAACATCCTTAGCTCAAGCCTGATGCATTGCCCTGTCTTGCTCTTAAGTTTTTGACTGTACAGTAGACAGAAAAAGACTGTCCTGCTAGGAAGTTTCTTGATTAGCCATTCACAAGTGGAGTATTTCATTCTAGCTTTGACGCTAAGAATTATATGTATTGTAAGTACTTGAATGTCTGCTGTGCGAATTGTCATTTGAAGTAACACCCTCTGTTTCTGTCAACTGAAGCTAAAAATGAAGCTGACCGGCAAGCAGAGAAGCGGGAGATTAAACGTCGACTCACTAGAAAGGTACGGTGTCCTTGTGTCTGGACGGCCTGTGTGATTGGAGTGAAGGAGTTGGCTTGTGCCTTAGATCAGTATGAAAATAACACATTAGCAGGAGTGGCATCTGCTGGTTTATTTTTAATATTTGAGAGGTTGTCACATTTAATCCAAAAGCTCTGAGAGCTTTTTTTTATTTGTCTGGGGGGGATTGTTTGCTTGGTTGTTTTGTGAGACTAGAGAGCAAAAAGAAAAGGTCTTTGTGCATTCTAAACAAGTGTTCTACTAGTGAGTCCTCTTAGACTAAAATTTTTATTTATATGTAAGTATAAATATATATATATATATATAAAAGCAATAATAGGAGAATTTGTAGCATTCCATTTTGCAACACAAACTGGTTGTTTTCTAATCAAGAAAACAATTGAAATAATCCTGAATCCTAAAAAAATAAGAAGAGGCATTTTTCTCGATCAGTCAGGATAGGGCCTTTTCTACACAGGGTCCATGTTGGCGCTGGAGTCGTCTCTTCTCTCTTCCATTGTCCACAACTTCTGTGATTGCTTCCTGCAGATTCGGATGTGCTCTTAGATACTTCTTAAAAATCATAAGAATTGCTGGGCAGTAGTGGCACACACCTTTGATCTCACCACTTGAGAGGGATTTCTGAGAGGCAGGCAGATCTCTTTGAGTTTGAGGCCAGCCTGGTCTACAAGAGCTAGTTCCAGGACAGGCTCCAAAGCTAGAGAAACCCTGTCTTAGAAAAAAAAAAATCATAAGAATTGCCAGGCATAATGCCGCAGCACCTTTACTCCCAGCGCTCAGGAGGCAGAGGCAGGTGGATCTTTCAGTTCCAGACCAACCTGATCTACACAGGGAGTTCCAGGACAGCCAGAGCTACACAGACAAATACTGTCTTGAAAAGAAAAGGGGGGGCCAAAAAAAAATCCCAGTGCAGGTGTAGATATTCTTTCTGGAATTATTCTATCCTTCTCCAGGAACGGAGGAATTATCCTTGCTTATCCGAGACTGATTAGTGGTTCTATTGCCTTTTAACATGTAAGGTTACCTAATTGTATATCCTTAAATCTAATTTCTCAGAGCTGGAGAGATGGCTCATAGGTACTGGCTGCTCCCACAGAGGTCCTGAGTTCAAACCCAACAACCACATGATGGTTCACAACCATCTATAATGGGATCTGATAATGTCCTCTTCTGGTGTGCAGGCATACATGCAGATAGAACACTGAATATATAATATATAAATAAATAAGTCTTTAGGGAACAAAATCATACTTCTTCACAGATTCTGCTAATTTGGTAACATTGGCCACGTATTTCCTAGGACATCTCAGAGCTATGTAACATCAGTTTCTATTCTAGATCCATTTATAATCAGAATCTGTTTCTTCTTGGGGCAGGGCGGTGGGAGGGGGCCAGTGCTACGGGTGGACCAAGGGTGTCACAGATACTAACCTTGTGCTTTGCTTTGCACTGAGTTCTGTCATCAGGCGGCATCTACACTGTAACCAGATCTTCAGGCGCTAAGGGTACATATTAAAGTTTGAAGACCAGAGGACATGGCTATGATTCTGTACAGAAAACCAAACTCTCACAAATTTTCGCACATTTTTATTTATTTTGTGTGAATGGAGTGTTGCATGTTATGGTATGCATGGTGAGGTCAGAGGACAACTTGTGGGATTAATTGCAGTTCGTTAGACTTGGTGACAAGTGCTTTTCCCCTCTAAGCCACCTTGCCAGCTCAAAGGGAAATTCCCGATACCCCAAGTCCTTGGGGAGCTTTGGGGAGGATGGGACCCAGGTGGTATAGTTAAAGCTTCTCGGGTTCTCTGGAGGTGGCAATTCATGCCTGTAATTCTGGCATGCAGGCGTCTGATCAGCAGGAGGATTAACTGTGTCGTGCCCCACCTCGTCCCGCAAGGATGATGTGACCACCGGAGCTCTTCTCACTGCAGTTTTATTCAGGACTTTATTCACAGCAATCTTTCTCCTTCTCCTTCTCTCTCTCTCCTCTCATCCCCTCTCTCCCCGGGCAAACCTCTCCCAGCCCTTAAGTAGGCATGGGCTGCCAATCCCGGATTGCCAGGTGGGCACTGCCCATAGGCCCACGCATATGCAAGCAGCTGATGATCATTGCGTGATCATAGCATAGGTCAGACTTTAGCCATACGAGTTGATTATACATCTCCATCAGGTGTGGCTCTATGCTAGCTCGCTACATAACTGTAAGTTTCAGGCTAGCCTAAGCTACAGTGTAAGGCCCTATCTCAAAAGAAAAAGTGTAGGCCTGGTGGTGGTGGTGGTGGCTGCAGTGCACACCTTAAATCCCAGCAGAGGCAGGTGGATCTCTGAGTTCAAGGCCAGCCTGGCCTACAGAGTGAGTTCCAGGATGGCCAGGGCTACACGGAGAAACCCTGACTCAAAAAAATCAAATAAATAAATGAATGAATATCTAGATAGATAATAGATAGACAGACAGACAGACAAGTGAGGGCTGGAGAGATTAAGGGTACAGGCTGCTCTTCCAGAGGTCCTGAGTTCAATTTCCAGCAACCACATGGTGGCTCCCAACCAATCTAGAATGAGATTTGGTGCCCTCTTCTGGCATGCAGGCAGAACATGGTATACATAATAAATAAATAAATCTTCAAAATAAATAATAAGTAACAAAGAAAGCTTCCCATGTAACTCCATTGTTCAGTGAATGGTAAAGGCAATTTAACGCATGCTTGGCTCTGTGTGTTTCAGCTCAGTCAAAGGCCGACTGTGGCTGAACTACTTGCCAGGAAGATCCTGCGGTTTAATGAGTATGTGGAAGTTACAGATGCTCAGGATTATGACCGGCGAGCAGATAAGCCATGGACCAAACTGACTCCTGCTGACAAGGTAACTCAAAAATGCTCACATATTCTCTGAGGATCTCCCTCTTCTCTACTCTTTCTGTTATTATTGTGAAGCACACTTAGGGTTTATTAAGAACGCTTTGAAACATAGATTTTAAGCATAGAGGTAACAGAAAGGGAGGCACTTGGCAAAGTCCAGCCACAGCCCAGTGTGGGTCTTCAGAAGGACACGGCACTGATGAGAAAAGTAAGCCGGCAGCAGAGATTCTAGTTTTGATAGGATGTTACATTTCAAAGCAAGATACAAAATGCCAAGATGTAAACCCAAGTTTTCTCTTAAACATTAAGAAAACAGCTGTTTTGCCAGGCCGTACTAGCACACACCTTTAGTGTTATTTTACTTATGTTTTAATCAATAAAGCTTCCCTAAAGATCAGAAGCAAAGCTAAGCCACTAAAGGGCGGCAGTGGTAGCACACACCTTTAATCCCAGGATTTGGAAAACCTAGAAAACCTAGGCCGAAGGATCTTTGTGAGTTCAAGGCCACCCTGGGCTTACACAAGACCACCGCAGAAACACCTGCAGGTAGTGGTGGCTCACACCTTGAATCCCAGTACTAAGGGATGCCTTTACTCCCAACACTAGAGGGAATATAAAATGGGAGAAAGAGGCTTAGTCTACTTCCTCTATGGTCGCCCAGCCTTGGTAGAGGTAAGACTTCTCTAGTAACTTGGCTGCTTTGCTTTTCTGGTTTTCAGGTTGAACCCCAATGTCTGTTTCTGGGTTTTCATTATTTTTGCTACACACCCTTTTAATCCTAACACTAGGGAGGCAGAGGCAGAGGCAGACAGATCGCTAAGTTTGAGGCCAGCTTGGTCCACAGAGTGAGTTCCAGGACAGCCAGGGCTGTTATACAGAGAAACACTGTCTCAGAAAAAGGGAAAAACAAAGAAGAGGAGGAAGGGAACAGCTGCATAAGGGTGGGGAAGAAAAAATAAGCTGTATCACAGAACAAAAAATTGAGATGGAAATAAAATACCCTTTTTTTCTAATTTATTTTATGTTTATGGATGTTTTTCCGGCATGAATGTCTATTCAGAGAGGCCAGAAGAGGGCATCAAATCCCTTGGAACTGAATTACAGACAGTTGTGAGCCACTATGTGGTTGCTGGGAATTGAACCCGGGTCCCCTGGAAGAGCAGCCAGTGCTCTTAACTACCAAGCTACCCCTCCAGTCCCAATAAAACATATTTTTGGGACTGGAGAGAGGGCTCAGTGGTTAAGAGCTGCTATTCCTGAGTATCCAGATTCATTCAATTCACAGCACCCACATGGTGACTCACAGCTGTCTGTAACTCCAGTTCCAGGGGATCTGGCACCCTCACAGAGATATACATGCAGGAAAAAAAATGCACATAAAATAAATAAATCTCCCCCTCCCCCCCAAAAACAAAAAACAATCCCCACATTTTTACCTGCAGCAATTGGAAGAGATTTGGTGCTGTATCTGAGTAATTCTGTCACTTCTGTGCCCTGCTTAATGTGCTGTGGAGAGGGCAAAGACTATCTTCTTAACATTTTGATTTAAATCGAGACTTTCGGGTTTACATGAAGCTTAGTAGTGTCAAGGAGAGTACTGTGTGTCTGGCTCAGCTTGGCTGGATCTCTTGGCCTGACTTTTCTTCCCTCTGGGCTGCATCCAAGATGTGTGGTTCTCCTAATGATAAGCCCATTAGAGAAACATGGCAAGTCACAAGGCTGCCCTTCAAGAGAGAAAAGATGCTTAAATCTTATTTCTATCTTACAGGCTGCCATAAGAAAAGAATTAAATGAATTTAAAAGCTCAGAGATGGAGGTTCATGAAGACAGCAAACATTTTACACGGTAAGACCCAAAGATTCAAATATTTGTAGCTGAGTAAAGTTTCCCCAGCAAACAAACAAAAAGTTGTTCAGATAGGAGGAACTCTACTGATCTAGAAAGCCAGGCATGGTGCTATAAATCCATAATTGTAGTCTTGGAAGTTGGGGGCAGAAAGATCAGGAATTCAAGGCCTACCTAGACTCCATGAGACCTTGTATTAAAAAACAAAGACAGTGGGGCTGGGGTGATTGCTCTGTGGATGAGCACTGCTGGGAAGTGTATAGACGAGTGTGATCTCAGCACACGGGAAGTGTATAGACGAGTGTGATCTCAGCAGGGAAGTGTATAGACGAGTGTGATCTCAGCACACGTGGATCTCAGCACACGGGAAATGTATAGACGAGTGTGATCTCAGCACCATGAGAAACCAGGTGCATCTGGGAGTGTCTGACGTCCCAGTGCACATGGTGAGGTGGAAGGCAGAAATAGGCCAGTCCTCAGCTAGCCTGGTGTCTGTCCACAGCGCTGAACAAGAGACCTTCACTCAAACAAGTGGAAGACAAATACTGACACCCTAAGATGTCATTTGACTCCCATGTGTCCATTGTAGTGTATGTGGGCCTGCACTCACACACTACACACATATTACAAATGGAATAATACACCAGGCAGTGGTGGCGCACGCCTTTAAACCCAGTACTCAGGAGGCAGAGACAGGCAGATCTCTGAGTTCAAGGCCCACCTGGTTTATAGAGTGAGTTCCAGGACAGTTAAGGCTACACAGAGAAACCCTGCCTTAAGAAACCAACACACACCCCCAGAAAAAAAAAAGAATAATAAATAAATAGGTCTGAGGATGTAGCTCAGTTGGTAGAGTATGTGTCTTGTGTGCCCAAAGCCCTAGGTGCCATCCCCGGCACTGCATAAACTGCGTGTGGTGGTGTATGCCTGTCATCCCAGCACTCAGGGAGATCAGGAGTTCAGGATAACAAGTTCCAGAGCCACCTCGGGTAAATCAAACCCATACCACAGCAACATCACCAGCAAAAGAGGATGAGAACTAAGAGCTAATTCTAAATGCCATTCTGAGTTTTGCCATTTTGTGTAGCCCAGACTTAGAATTTATATATAACCAGGGCTGACCTGAAACTCACAGCTGTCTAGCCTCTACCCTGGAATTACAAACTTGAGCTACTAAGCTCCCAGCTACTTCTGTTGGTGGTGATTTTGAGACAGGGTCTTGCTGTGTAGTTGTGGCTGGCCTCACAAGTACTGGCTGGATTGTAGGCCTGTGCCACCACGCCCAGCTTAGCCTGGGGCTCTTGATAGCCAATCAACCTCTCTTCCGAGAGCAGAGACTGCAGATGGGAGCCCCACACCTGAGTGCTTGCATTTTTACCTCGGCTAATGAAGTTTGTGCGGCATGTGAGACCATAGCTGTAGAGACAGCTTCATTTAGTTAACAAGTATTTACTGAGCACCTACAACAAGTACATACAATTCTGGGTCTTTAGGTTGCAACAGGGAATCAGGCAGAGCCTCAGGTTTCTGCAAACTGCTCTACAGCGGAAGGGTGACTGGGAAATGAAGTGCAGCTATTTGAAGGCTGACAGCACCTGTGGTTTACTGAGGTTGCGCTGCCGGAGTCTCGAGAACAAGCATCCTCGGTCTCAGGTTCTGCTCCTCAGCCTACAGCTGGAGCTGCCACCATGTCAACACTAGATAGTAGGTCCTTCAGGGGAAAGCCCATGATTATTGTTCTGTTTTGATTGGGGGATCTTGTTCTTGTTTACTTGGCTTCTAACAAACAGCTGTTTTGCTGCTAGTCTGGAGTGACAAGCACACAGGTCTGACCCATTCCTCCTTTGGGGAGCTTGTCGCCCCCCACTTTGTGTGTGTGTGTGTGTTTTGAGATAGGATCTCACACTGTAGCTCAAGCTAGGCTGGAACTCAAAGCAGTCCTCCTGCCTCAAACTCCCAAGTGCTGGAAGTCCCGCCCTCCGACTACAATACTGCTACTGATATAGCGAAGCCAGAGCTGGAGTTTAATTAGGGCAGAGCACGCACAAGGCCCTGGTCAGTCCTCAGCACCACTTGAGGTGCATAGATTCCTGTAACCAACAAAAGCCCTTTTGACTTTCCAAAACAGATTTCAAGAATAGGAAAGCAGTCTCCAATGTCTGGTAACTTGTCCCTTTCTGACCCTTCTAGCTACCATCGCCCGTGATGCTGATCGTGAAAAGGGGACTAAAGGACCATGGGAAAGCAGAGCTGTTGTGTTGCTTGTCTCCAGGGCAACTATAGCACTTCCCACACCACAGCCAGAGCTGCTCTGGGATCTGGTTCAGAGCTGAACAGCACTTCTGTGAATGTAGCCTTCCACTGTAACGGATTCTCCTGGGCTGCCATTGGAGAGACATGAGACAGCTGATGCTTTTGAACCTCCTCACAACACTGCAGAGGACTTGAGGGCTTTCCTCTCGCCAGCCACCTGAGCTCGGGCCCTTGAAGGCTCCGAGTCTAACTGGCGGTAGCACACACCCTGTCCCGAGACAACTGCCTGTGCTGAGGCAGTTTGTGCCATTAGCCTTAACCGCCTCCCTGTTTGTGTGACCCACTCATGTAGGCGTTAAACCTCTTGCCAGAACAACCCTGGAGGCTCTACCATGCTATCTAGCAAATGGGCCCCCACTCCTGAATGCTTAGACGTCCCTGGTGTGGCAGTAGAAAGATTACACTGTCCCTTCTAGATGACCAGTGAGGCCCCCAGGAAGCTTGGTGTCTGAGCTGTCCCTCCTTTGACACCTGTCATCCCAGCTCCTTTGTTTAGAGGCAAGATCTGAAACTGGCTCAGGCTAGCCTGTACCTCGCTGTGTAGGCCAGGCTGGCCTCAAACATTGTCTCAGCCTCTCAGGTGCTGGGATTATAAGCATGAACCATCATGCTTGGCTCTCATCCTGGTCCTTATTTTAAAGTTATCCTAAAGAAATAATGGAAATCTATCTGTTAAACAGTCTGAACTGTAATCAAGCTGTTCAATGAGTGTCAAGTATAGTTTCTATACAAACCAAGAAAAAGGCCTTAATATTAATGCCAGTTTGGCAGAGCCCAACTCATGGGTTAGACTCCTTAGACTAAGTATACATTCCTTGTACCAAATGATATCGTTAGTCACTTCAGCCAGTGGGTGGGGGCACTGTGTGCTGCTGGCCCTCCGTACTGCACAGTGCCTCTTTACTCCAGTAGCCGCTGCTTCTCTCCGGCAGCCTTCACCTCACTTGCCTGTCCATGCTGTAGCCAGTGTGGTTGGTGCCTCAGTTTTTAGATCAGGCCCTCCCAATTTGTATTTGTGATGTAAATGTGATTTCCCAAAGCGAATCTGGTCTGTGCCTCAGAGTTTTCTCTTGAAGCCCATACAGCCTCACCTCTCCCTCCCAATTGCTCTTCACGTTCTAGGTGGAAAAGAAACACATCCCAGTTTTTCTTCTTTCTTCTTTTAGTCTGCAACTCTGTAGCTCAGCCAGCCTTTGACTTGAGGTCTCCCTCCCGCCTTCCCGCCCGGGATCGTAGGATCATAGGCGTCCACAGGCACAGCTGGCTCCTCCTCACCCACCATTTAGTAAATTGTGAGTTTCGAGTGCTTCCTCTCCATTCCTCTTTCTGTTTGTGTTCCTTCAGCAGTGTTCTCCTTGTTAACACCGCACTTGCGGAAGATTTAGAATATAGGGCAAACAAAAGCTAAAGTGACCTTAAAATAGGACTTCCTTCTCTCCGGAGGAAAAGGTGGTTTTGTTTTTCCTGTGACTACCAGGTAGTTTCCGGTTATGGAAACAGGACTGGCTCCCCACTTCCCCACCTCTTCCCCACCCCTCCCCACCACCTCACCCTCCACCTCCTCCCCACCTTCTCAAAGCTCTTGGGCTAAGGAGGGGAAGACCAATGACAGTTGTAAGTCTAGACACAAGGTTGCCGTAATTGCTGACCTGATCATTCAGCATCCTCTTTTGTGATTGTATTTTGTTCAGTGTGCTCAAGATGGAATCCAAGTTCTCACAAGCTAGGCCAGTTCTCTCTGCCACTGAGCTGTCCTCAGCCCTGATCCCAACCACACTTGCTTTCCTGTTGGTTTTACAGACTGCATATGCCTTCACTGTCTGTGGCTGAGGTGACATTTTCTCTTCTGTTTTATTAGCTATGGTCTCATGTAGCCCAGGCTGGCCCCAAACTCACTATATAGCCAAGGAAGACCTCCACCTTCTGATGGTCCTGCCTCCACCTCGCAAGCGCCATGCCTGTCAGCAAAACAACCTTTCAGTCGTCCTCCACCGCTGCTCTCCCTCACTGTGCCAAGCCTGAGCTACCCGTCTGCTCCTGGGCCACCAGCGCTCGGATTCACTCTTCATCTCGTTTGTTAGGGCAGCATCTAGTCAGTGGTTCTGTTTTAGTGTATATAAGAGCTGACTTTGTGTTTTCTCTCTGTAATTTGAAGTCACAGTTGTAAAGCCTAGCATATTGTAACGTCAGAATGTCCCCTAATGTACAGAATCATGTAAAATAAATAATTACATTGTATATCAGTCTTCCCACCAGTCTTAATTATTAAAGTATTTTAGAATATCGAAAAAACCTGATTTGTTTATTTTTAATTTTTTTAGTACTGGAGGTTGAGCCTCATTACTCAACCGCTAAGCCACATCCCTGATTTGTGTTTTGTTTTACTTTTGTTTGTTTATTCTTTTTGTTTTTTGAGACAGGGTTTCTCTGTGTAGCCCTGGCTATCCTAGAACTCACTCTGTAGACCAGGTAGCCTCAAACTCAGATATCCACCTGCCTCTGCCACCTGAGTGCTAGAATTAAAGGCATTCACCACCACCACCCAGTCTTTTTATTTTTATTTTTATTGGTGTTTTACCTGTATGTATGTCTTTGTGAGGGGTGTTGGATCATGGAGTTACAAACAGTTGTGAGCTGCCAGGTGGGTGCTAGGAATTGAACCTGGGTCCTCTTGAACCAGTCAGTGCTCTTAACTGCTGCACCAGCTCTCCAGCCCCTATTTTGTTTTACTTTATTCCAGAAAATTAAAGCAACTTAAAAATGATACCCAAATCCTAGCCTTTGGAAGGCAGAGGCAGGTAGATCTCTGAGTTTGAGGACAGCCTGGTCTACAAAGTGAGTTCCAGAACAGCCAGAAATATACAGAGAAATCTTGTCTCAGAAAAGAGAGAGAGAGAAATGAGATCCAAAATATTGCTAAAGACTCCAAAATGAAAAAGAAGATAAATGATTATGTTAAATGTAGCCAGAAGTGAGAATCTGTCATGTTTGTATATTTCTCTGCATGAACAAGAGTCACGGGACTGGGATATAGCTCAGTTGGTAGAGTGCTTGCCTTGTGTGCACCAACCCCTGAGTTCAGTCCCACATCATAAAGCAAGGCACAGTGTATCCCAGAACCTCTGAGGCTGAGACAGAAGGTTGAGAAGTTAAAGGTCATCCCTGAGGACCTCTAACTGCCAGGCTCCACCCACAGAGCACACTCTTAACTGCCCTAACAGCTAGGCCCCCAGCCTACAGAGTAAAAAGCTGAGTCTCTGGACTTGAAATTCCACCAATCTCCACCCTTGATTCCTTCACCCTAAGAAGTTCATCCCCTCCCCCCAAAACTATCTAAGCCCTGCCTTTTGCTCAGTTCTCCACTGTTTCTTGCCCAAGCAGAGGCAGCCACCCTCCTGGGTTTTTTCCCTCCCGGTAAATCTCTTCTGTGAGGTTTGTTGTGAGGTGTAACTTTGTGGTATTTCTTGGCTCCCTACTGCCTGGATTTCTTTCCATCCAAACTATACCACTTACATTTATGTCAGAACCCGGGATAGGCTCTCCCTGTGCCTGCGGTGCCCCTCGGGTGCCTAAGGTGCACAGACCCTATCCCTTACTCCCGTGCAACTGCCACAGACTCACCTTCCCCTCAGCAATCACTCTGTCCCTTCCATCTGCAGCAATTAGCTAAGTTTCCCCCTTAGTCAGTGTAAACATTTCCCTGAGTCTGACAAAGTGACCACTGAGTGTCCAGCACCCCTCTGGCACCCTCAGCCATGGTCTTTAAGGCCACAGACAGCTGGCCCTCTACACCTGACCCCATCACCCGACCCTTATAGTTGCAATCCTGCAGTTTCCTTAGGCTCAACTGGGCTGCTATGCCCCTGGCTGTCCCCTTCTCCCTGGAGCTACCTGTAATCACACAGCTCCTCTAGGCCCTCATGGCTTTCGTGACCCCATTCCCGACCCTTTCCTGTGGAAGAGACCCTCCTCCTAGAGCTTGGTTTTCTCTCACCTTCTCACCTCTACAGAAGCCACGGTACCAGGCCCCGAGACTCTCCTCTGCCTTACAATGACCCACTGAATGGCTTGGCCCTTGTTTGGTCCTCCCTGAGTCCTAGGTTTGCCCACGACTACAGGCTGCAGTGACATTTTCCTTCCTCTCTACCATGGGAACGTGTCTTCCACACCCTCCCATTCCCCCTTGGGATGCCTCTTAGAAAACCTCCAGCTTCTCCACCTGACACCCAACTGAAGAGCCTCAAATTTATTCAATCAAATTTTTGCAATCAAATTTGGCCTCAATACCCCTTAGATAATCAATCCAAAGAACCACCTAAGAGCACCCTAGATCCTAATATCACTCAGGACCTTTACAAATAGTGTGAGCGATCAGGGAAATGGGAAGATTCTCCATTCCCTATTTCTCTTGTCTCTGCTCCAAGCCCTGTTTACTTTTATCTAGTCTCTCTCTCTCTTTCTCTCTCTCTCTCTCTCTCTCNTCTCTCTCTCTCTCTCTCTCTCTCTCTCTCTCTCTCTCTCTCTCTCTCTCTCTCTCTCTCTCACACACACACACACACACACACACACGTGTGCACACATGCACTAAGTATAAATGTCCTGTCTTTTAAGTTACCATAAATAGACCTGTAGGGTGGAAAGGGCCAAGAATAAACACCCTGACCCTAACTTGGGTACAGGGATTGAAATACCACCAATCCCTGAAGTCCCTGAGCACGGAATCCCACCAATCCCAAATCAACCTGGAAAACTCAACAGACCCCACCACCACCAAGGAAGCTTTATATAAGGTATGTACCCTGTTCAGTTCGCTGCCACCCCACCCTGGATTCTTCCTCTTCCTCTTCCTCTTCTTCTTTTTCTTCTTTTGGTTTTTCAGGACAGGGTTTCCCTGTGTAACAGTCCTAGCTGTTCTGGAACTAGCTCTTGTAGACCAGGCTGGCCTCAAACTCACAGGGATTCACCTGCCTCTGCCTCCCGTGTGCTGGGACTAAAGACTTACACCACCACAGCCCGGGCCCCAATAAATTTCTTGAGTGAGGTTTATCTGTGACATTTTCACCAGAGTGAAGCCCAGCTGTAACAATTTTCCCGAGAGCAGCTCAGCAGAACTATACCATTTTCAAGAGGGAAACCTTCCTCTAGCCGAGAAGAGTTGTTACCCTCTGGGGTACCTAAGCAGAGCTGTAACACTTTTGCTGGGGAATCTTTTCCTTAAGCAGAACAGAGCTATAACAACTTTGCTGGGGAAACCCTCCCCTGCCAGAGCAGAATTGTTACATTGGGGAAACCTTTCCCCAGAGCACAGCTTGTAAGCTGCTACACTTACAGTGACATTGTGGTGTTCCTTGACTCCGGACTGCCAGGACACCTTTCCATCAGAGCTGCAAAGCTTACAGGATCTGTAGGTTTGTTCCACAGTGGGAGCCAGGAGTGAGACCTAGCAGAAGGGGGAGAAAGCAGAGGAGTAGGTCAGCCGCAATAGCTGCTGTGTGCGCAAAGAGAAAAAAACAAACAACAACAACAAAACAAAACAAACGGCCAACAACAGAATACTGGTTGTATGTCCCTCCTGGATCAAACTCATGCCTGCCTTTGCGATCGTACCCACTGACTTACTAGACTCTCTCACCACGCCTCTCGTTAGTTGCTCTAAGCCCAATGTTACTACCATCCCTTCTCCTTCCTACACCTCTCTCTTCAGTATCGTAGACTGCTTTAACTCCAACATGCTTTGTGGGCACACTGAATTCTGCGGGTTGCAATACCTTTACCCTCAGTACCACCACCCAGTCCCTGTGCCCAAACATTCCCAATGCTTCCTTTCTCTATGGCACCCAAGTTTATCACTGCCTACCTGACGGGTGGTTTGGTACATGTACCCTGGTGTTCTCTTTTCCAAAACTAGAGGTTGGTACCTACTGGAGAGCACATGTGGATTCCCATCAGAAGGTTTAGAGCATCCTGGCATGACAAAGGAGCAGTCAGGTCACACCCTCTAGAGAGGGCCTGACGGAACTGACTACTTCCCTAGCTATTTTAGGTTTTCCTCTCAGTTCCTCCAGGATCTCCAGTGGGGGCCTCAGCCCTTTCTTACCTCAAGGGACATAGACTGGCTGAGTGCCACAAGTGCTACAAGATCACCGAGGATTAACTAACGGCAAAAGAGGTGGCCTTTGTCAACTAAGTCTGTCCCATCACCTCTTTGCGGCAGGACGAAGTCCCTCCTCCCAACCAACCCCGTGCCTAGGCTGAGAATGGATTCCATGCTCCAGAAAGTCAGTTCATGCACTAGAGTTAGATCCTGGTCCCACTGCCAGTGGCCCCATGTACTACTGCTCAAGCCACACCATTGTCACCTGTATTCAGTTCATTCCTATGCAGGTTCCCCGGGTGTCAGTCTGGAGTCAGTGATCTCTCACTAGTTCGGGTCAGCTACCTTTCTTAACTACTTACCCTTCTTAACCCACTTTCTCCTACTGGTTGCACCCTGCCTTATAAACTTCTTACATACATTTCTTCAACAATAGAGTCAAAATATTTCTAAGCAGACTTTTAATCAGTTGTTATTACAGGATTACCAGCCCCTAGCTGCAGAGCCAGAGGCCAGCGATGGTGAAGATCAAGTTTGCCCAAAGGATACCACGATTCAGCAGGAAGTAGTCTAAGGATCACATCACCCCCTTTCTTGTGACCTGATTGTTTAGTAATAATATAAAAAGGGGAATGTAAGCCCCTCGAGCCGTACAATTGGTTAGGCCCCTCCCCTGAGGCCCTCCAACTGCCAGGTTCCATGCACAGAACACTCTAACTGCCCCAACAACTGGATCCTGCCCCCACCCCACAGAGTAAAAAGCCCAATCTCTAGACCTGAAACCCCACCAATGTCCACCCTGAAAAGCTCCATCTCCTTCCCCAAGAAACTCTATATAAGCCCCGCCTTCTGCTCAGTTCTCTGCTATTTCTCCCCTGAGCAGAGGCAACCACCCTCCTGGTTTTTCCCTCCCAATAAATCTCTTATGTGAGGTTTGTTGTGTGGTGTGACTTGGTTATTCCTTGGCTCCCAAATATCAGGATACCTTTCCATCCAAACTATAATGCTTACATTGAGTAACATAGCAAATTCAAGGCTAGCCTGGGATAGCCTGGGGTATATGATCCCTCTATCTCATTTTTTTTTCATTTTAGAAATTTTGCAGGTGCTGGAGAGATAGCTCAATAGTTAAGAGCACTGGCTG